TATGAGGTTGGCCGCAGCTAGGCCACACTAGGCCACAATATTAGTAGCTTGGAGCCTCACAACCACCAACAGCAAGAGTTCCCCAGGAAAGGTTCCTGCTGTACCCAGATGCTATCAGTCAGCCACCAATGGAATAAAGTATGCATGTTACCCAGATTAGAGGCTTTGTGAGGAGTTCCTGCTCCATGCATCCGATCAGCATGGCAGTCAAGCCCCACCCCCAGACATCTTTTTAAAGGACCACTATAGGCACCCAGACCACTTCAGCTTAATGAAGTGGTCTGGGTGCCAGGTGCATCTAGGGTTAACCCTGCCTCTGGCTGCTCACTGTTAAAAAAAAAAAAAAGCCTACTAACCGCACCCCCTAATAAATAACAATTGGGGGGGGAACCTACTGTCCTCCCCCTCACCCCCACCCCTGCGCGGTGGGTGGGGGCAATAATACAATAAATGACAATGAGGGGGGGACCTATTGTCCTCCCCCCTGGCCCCCACCCATGGGCGACAGGTGGGGCCCCAAAATGACAATGAGTGAGGGGGGGCTACTGTCCTCCCCCCCTGCCCCCCTGCATGGTGGGTGGGGGCCATAAATAACAATGGGGGGACCTATTGTCCACCCCCCCGGCCCCCACCCCTGCGCGGCAGGTGGGGGCCCTAAATAAGGATATGGGGGGGACCTGCTGTTTCCTTCCCCACGGCCCCCACACCTGAGCAGTGGGTGGGGGCCCTATATAAGAATGGTGGGGGCGGGGACCTACTGACCTCCCCCTTTGCCCTCACCCATGAGGGGTTGGTGGGGGCACTATAAAACAATAAGTGGGGGGACCTACTGTTCTCCCCCACGGCCCCCACACCTGAGCGGTGGGTGGGGGCCCTATATAAGAATGGTGGGGGGGGACCTACTGTTTCCCCCCTGTCCCCCACCCCTTTTTATAAGTTTAATCAAATACCCCCTTACGACCGCTTTGAATGCACACCATATTGTTGCTGCGGAAAGTTTCTCCGTGTTATTTTCTTTGACATAAAATTGTATCAATCCCCAATTCATATTTGGTCTGCCTTATTATTCAGAATATTATAGTCTAGACGCCAAGTCGTATTAGGTCTATATTTTTTATCAGCTTTTATATTAAAAATAATGTAGCTATGGTCTGACCATATATTCTCTTCTATATGTATATCTTTTATTTGATCTACTAGGTTTGCTTCGCCCAATACAAAATCTATTCTAGAAAGAGAAGAGTGTACTTTTGAGAAGTGCATGTATTCTCTTTCCTCTGGGTTATATACCCTCCATATGTCTAATAGGTTGTTTTCTTGAAGTATATTTCTCAATATCTTAGCTTGATTTATCAGATGTTTAGTTATCGGTTTATTATTTTTAGTTTTTTGTCTAGCTCTGTATCTATCATACAGTTAAAGTCACCCAAAATAACTAGTAGCCCTATTTTAACCTTATCTACTTTTTCTATGATCATTTTAAAATATTTAGTTGGTAGTACATTTGGAAGGTATATATTTACCAAAGTATAGACTTTCTCCTCCATCTTACATATTAATATCTGATACCGGCCCTCTATATCTACTTCTTCATATATAACTTCTTTATTTATTCTTTTCGAGAAGATTATAGCCACCCCTCTTGTTTTTTTCCTATTTAAAGACGCTTGTGAGATTATTTCATACCTCGTCTTTCCCTATTATATCATACTGTTATTTTATCATATGATCTTTTATTACATCATACTATTATTGTATCATATTATCTCTTATGAGTCCTCTCCTGAAATTGTCATCAAAACAAAACACTAAGCCCTCAATAATTACTGTCCTAGCAACCTACGTTTATACCCTACCCTTACCTTTTATGTCACTATACCCCACTCCCTCTAACATGTAAACTCACTGAGCAGGCCCTCAATCCCTCTGTTACTCTCACTATACCCCACTCCCTCTAACATGTAAACTCACTGAGCAGGGCCCTCAATCCCTCTGTTACTGTGTCACTATACCCCACTCCCTCTAACATGTAAACTCACTGAGCAGGACCCTCAATCCCTCTGTTACTGTGTCACTATACCCCACTCCCTCTAACATGTAAACTCACTGAGCAGGCCCTCAATCCCTCTGTTACTGTGTCACTATACCCACTCCCTCTAACATGTAAACTCACTGAGCAGGCCCTCAATCCCTCTGTTACTGTGTCACTATACCCCACTCCCTCTAACATGTAAACTCACTGAGCAGGCCCTCAATCCATCTGTTAGTGTGTCTGCATGTACTCATTGTCAATCCCTCTGTTACTGTGTCACTATACCCCACTCCCTCTAACATGTAAACTCACTGAGCAGGGCCCTCAATCCCTCTGTTACTGTGTCACTATACCCCAACTATACCCTCTAACATGTAAACTCACTGAGCAGGACCCTCAATCCCTCTGTTACTGTGTCACTATACCCCACTCCCTCTAACATGTAAACTCACTGAGCAGGGCCCTCAATCCCTCTGTTACTGTGTCACTATACCCCACTCCCTCTAACATGTAAACTCACTGAGCAGGGCCTCAATCCCTCTGTTACTGTGTCACTATACCCCACTCCCTCTAACATGTAAACTCACTGAGCAGGGCCTCAATCCCTCTGTTACTGTGTCACTATACCCCACTCCCTGTAAACTCACTGAGCATGTTACTGTGTCACCTACCCCACTCTAACATGTAACCTCACTGAGCAGGGCCCTCAATCCCTCTGTTACTGTGTCACTATACCCCACTCCCTCTAACATGTAAGCTCATTGATCAGGGCCCTCAATCCCTCTGTTCCTGTGCGTCCAACTTGTCTGGTTACAAATACGTGTCTGTTAGTCCACCCATTGTAAAGCGCTACAGAATTTGTTGGCCTTTTATAAATAACAATTGAGAGAAAGAAAGGGGGAGTGGAAGCTTAATGATATTGAAACTTAGGCAGTAAAGGGGTTAACCCTAATTGATATAATTCAAAAGAAAAAAGGAGAAAGAACTACTGCCATAGAATAGATATAATTAAAAATTAACTTTTAATAGTCTAATTAAAATACAATAAAGAGTGAATATAAAAACTCTCAATACTCCAAGAGGGAGTATAAAGAGGTGAATAATACACATCAATTATATGATTATAGTGTCCAAATTGTTGCAACTTGATTATTTGACATATAATCAGCAATAAGATAATGTATAAAATTATCCTAGATTGATACTTTCAAATGGCTAAATAGTTGCAGATTACTGCTTACTTTTAATTAGTGCTATAAGCCAATATGAAAATACTTATCCATAAGAAATAGATGTGATTATAATGTCCAAATTGTTACCACTTGATCGTTTGACATATAATCAGTAGTAAGATAATGTATAAAATTGTCCTAGATTGATACTTTCAAATGGCTAAATAGTTGCAAATTACTGCTTACTTTTAATTAGTGCTATAAGCCAATATGAAAATACTTATCCATAAGAGATAGAAATGATTGATGAAAATCCCAATATAAGTTTTGTAAAAAAGATTTTATCAAAAATTTGTCAAAAACTAACTGTGCCTTCATGGGCACCTGCCTCTACGAGATCACCACTAAATAAACTAACTGACCGAAAAATAGATAAATCTACCGGACGAGTACTGTGCACTATTCCTACGTATTGAAATCGCTACTTGTTGCTAGAAACTAAAGCTGCAGTAACTAATATCTAAATACTAATGATTACTGTCTAAATGGATCGTCTCACTAGGTTTCCAGAATCAACTACAGCTGCTGCAATACTAAGTTAGCTATTAGTCGGAAAGAAACAAGTTCTGATAAACATACCCCAAACCCCGATGAACTGTCTTTGTAAAATTGATTTCTATGCTAAACGGTACAAAATGACCCCAGTAAATAGTATATCAAGTCCAAAGTAATAAATGGTAGTTTGAGAGAGGGGAGCAATCTCCCAGAAGAAACCCCGACGCGCGTTTCGCCGGTAAGGCGGCTTTTCAAGGGGCCGCCTTACCGGCGAAACGCGCGTCGGGGTTTCTTCTGGGAGATTGCTCCCCTCTCTCAAACTACCATTTATTACTTTGGACTTGATATACTATTTACTGGGGTCATTTTGTACCGTTTAGCATAGAAATCAATTTTACAAAGACAGTTCATCGGGGTTTGGGGTATGTTTATCAGAACTTGTTTCTTTCCGACTAATAGCTAACTTAGTATTGCAGCAGCTGTAGTTGATTCTGGAAACCTAGTGAGACGATCCATTTAGACAGTAATCATTAGTATTTAGATATTAGTTACTGCAGCTTTAGTTTCTAGCAACAAGTAGCGATTTCAATACGTAGGAATAGTGCACAGTACTCGTCCGGTAGATTTATCTATTTTTCGGTCAGTTAGTTTATTTAGTGGTGATCTCGTAGAGGCAGGTGCCCATGAAGGCACAGTTAGTTTTTGACAAATTTTTGATAAAATCTTTTTTACAAAACTTATATTGGGATTTTCATCAATCATTTCTATCTCTTATGGATAAGTATTTTCATATTGGCTTATAGCACTAATTAAAAGTAAGCAGTAATTTGCAACTATTTAGCCATTTGAAAGTATCAATCTAGGACAATTTTATACATTATCTTACTACTGATTATATGTCAAACGATCAAGTGGTAACAATTTGGACATTATAATCACATCTATTTCTTATGGATAAGTATTTTCATATTGGCTTATAGCACTAATTAAAAGTAAGCAGTAATCTGCAACTATTTAGCCATTTGAAAGTATCAATCTAGGATAATTTTATACATTATCTTATTGCTGATTATATGTCAAATAATCAAGTTGCAACAATTTGGACACTATAATCATATAATTGATGTGTATTATTCACCTCTTTATACTCCCTCTTGGAGTATTGAGAGTTTTTATATTCACTCTTTATTGTATTTTAATTAGACTATTAAAAGTTAATTTTTAATTATATCTATTCTATGGCAGTAGTTCTTTCTCCTTTTTTCTTTTCCTTTTATAAATAATAATCATACAGTTATTGTACAATGTGATCTCTTATTGCATCATACAGTTATTATATCATCTGATTTCCTATGACATCATGTCCTTATTCTATACTCTGATCACTTATCACATAATGCCATCAATGTATACCATGATTGTCCCAGAGTATTTGTGTATTAGGTGTACAATGGTCATTCTATCCATGGGTTTTTTAATGAATGAAGGAAACTCTCAGAGGAGGAGAAGACTTCTATTGGGTTGGACTCTGGACACTGCCAGAATAAGTAAATTAATCCTGGTGGAAGACGTCTTCTATTGATGATGGTTGAGAGTGTCTGGATTTTTCTAAACCAGGGCAGCTATGAGCAAATGGATTGGTACATTGTGATCAGGAACCTCATTGCCAAATAACATTTGAAATGAGCATGTGTCATTGTCGTGCTTGGAGTGTGCCTTTAATAACATCTATCTGGTGCCAATATCTTCCTCCTTTTATATCTCCTCGGTTGACTTAGATACAAATGCAAACTGCCAAGCATAATCAGGGACAACAAGGCTGAAGATACGCGGCTTCCAAGGACAATCCAGGCTGTGGTATGAAGATCTACGCTGGTGGAGTTATCCGAACAGAAACAGTGACCCAATGTCCGTGGCTTATGGGATGTTTTATTTTCATCTGGAAGAGACGTAAATGAAGGAATCATCACAGGCTTTACAAACTGTGTCAGTAAGAAAAAGCAAGCAATAGATGGAAATAGGTGGAAGAGAGAGCTTTCTTGAAAAAAAAAAAAATATGATAAAATGGGGAATGATATGTCTAGAGTATAGAGTGTATAGAAACACATGCCACTGGAGTTACAGCGTAAGTCGAGGCATCGTCAGAGAACATTCTTAATGCACTTCAATATAAAGACAGAACGTGATTTTGTAAATCCATTTTTTCCCCCCTCTTTTTGTAACATAGTAGAACTTAGTTTATTGCAGCTGCTTTAAGTACAAGGTAACAGGCCTTCCTGTGTGACTCCACAAGCACACATTCAATAGTGATTTTAAACCGTTAATGAATGTTTCATGCTGTAGATTTTATTTTAAAATCTTAATTTTTTTCCAGTATGTAAAAGCATTTCATAAATACAGGATCTCAGTAAGTCATATTCTGTTTTTATAGAATGCCATTACATTTTGGAAGTAAAGAAACGGTTTTAGAATAAAAGATACAGCCAGTCCTGTTTGAGTGGGACATTTTATTAATGTTTTAAATAATTGGAGAACAAAGAGGATTTACTCCTGATACATTATGTGTACTTTTTATTTTGCAATGTAAACCATGATAATGTTACATTCACTTGGATACATCAAACAGCATTGTAAGTTATCTGCAATGAAATCATTGTGAATAACTAGTACTCACTATATCGATGGGCCATTTGCTTCATTTGATCATTACTAATTGGATTTTCTGATATGTTTATACTGATATTAATTGTATTTATTCCATACAAGATTTACTTGAAATTCTAAAATTTGATTTCCTGCCATTTCTACATTGCCATAATTTGGGCTCTTCCTGTCCTTACTTTGTACAGGGTGTCCCACAGTAGGCCTACTGCACACAATCTAATGGGTCACTGAATCGGACAGAACATCGGTTCTGCATCCACACTAATTATTAAGACAATACAGACTCGATTCCTTTACATTCTGCCATTAGATAACAATGCAAGCCCTGATTTCCATGATGCTTTGCCAGTATTAGGCTGAGGGGGTTTAACTCTCCAATCTAATTATTACGACAATACGGACTCGATTCCTTTACATTCTGTCATTAAGTAACAATGCAAGCCCTGACTCCCATGATGCTTTGCCAGTATTAGGCTGAGAGGGTTTAACTCTCAAATCTAATTATTAAGACAATACGGACTCTATTCCTTTACATTCTATCATTAAAGGACCACTCTAGGCACCCAGACCACTTCAGCTTAATGAAGTGGTCTGGGTGCCAGGTCCAGCTAGGGTTAACCCATTTTTTAATAAACATAGCAGTTTCAGAGTTTTCATAGCAGTTAAGCCTTCCCCCAAAGCCTCTAGTGGCTGTCTCATTGACAGCCACTAGAGGCGCTTGCGTGCTTCTCACTGTGATTTTCACAGTGAGAGCACGCCAGCGTCCATAGGAAAGTATTGTAAATGCTTTCCTATGAGACCGGCTGAATGCGCGCGCAGCTCTTGCCGCCAAGGCGGCGACTAGCCGACAAGGAACGGGAGGAGGAGAGAGAAGGGAGAGAGCCTCCTACCTACGCTGGAAAAGGTAAGCTTAAAACTCTTTCCCCTTTCCAGAGTCATGGAGGGGGGTCCCCTGAGGTGGGGGCACTTTCATATATGAAGCAGGAAAAACGAGTATGTTTTCCTGGCACTATAGTGTGTCCTTAAGTAACAATGCAAGCCCTGACTCATGATGCTTTTCCAGTATTAGGCTGAGGTTTAATCCTCCAATCTAATTATTAAGACAATACTGACTCATTCCTTTACATTCTGTCATTAAGTAACAATGCAAAGCCCTGGTTCCTTATGATGTTTTGCCAGTATTAGTTGAGAGGGCTAACTCTCCAATCTAATTATTAAGACGCACAGGATTCCGAACAATGCAAGCCCTGACTCCCATGATGCTTTGCCAGTATTAGGCTGAGGGGGTTTAACTCTCCAATCTAATTATTAAGACAATACGGACTCGATTCCTTTACATTCTGTCATTAAGTAACAATGCAAGCCCTGACTCCCATGAGGCTTTGCCAGTATTAGGCTGAGGGGGTTTAACTCTCCAATCTAATTATTAAGACAATACGGACTCGATTCCTTTACATTCTGTCATTAAGTAACAATGCAAGCCCTGACTCCCATGATGCTTTGCCAGTATTAGGCTGAGGGGGTTTAACTCTCCAATCTAATTATTAAGACAATACGGACTCGATTCCTTTACATTCTGTCATTAAGTAACAATGCAAGCCCTGACTCCCATGATGCTTTGCCAGTATTAGGCTGAGAGGGTTTAACTCTCCAATCTAATTATTAAGACAATACGGACTCGATTCCTTTACATTCTGTCATTAAGTAACAGCGCAAGCCCTGGCTCCCATGATGTTTTGCCAGTATTAGGCTGAGGGGGTTTAACTCTCCAATCTAATTATTAAGACAATACGGACTCGATTCCTTTACATTCTGTCATTAAGTAACAACAATGCAAGCCCTGGCTCCCATGATGCTTTGCCAGTATTAGGCTGAGGGGGTTTAACTCTCCAATCTAATTATTAAGACAATACGGACTCGATTCCTTTACATTCTGTCATTAAGTAACAATGCAAGCCCTGACTCCCATGAGGCTTTGCCAGTATTAGGCTGAGGGGGTTTAACTCTCCAATCTAATTATTAAGACAATACGGACTCGATTCCTTTACATTCTGTCATTAAGTAACAGCGCAAGCCCTGGCTCCCATGAGGCTTTGCCAGTATTAGGCTGAGGGGGTTTAACTCTCCAATCTAATTATTAAGACAATACGGACTCAATTCCTTTACATTCTGTCATTAAGTAACAATGCAAGCCCTGGCTCCCATGAGGCTTTGCCAGTATTAGGCTGAGGGCGTTTAACTCTCCAATCTGTCCACTCACAAATAGAGGTTTATATATAATTTTTTCACTGACATTAATTCTTCCTTTTTATTATTGGCTGCACAGAACTTGGTTTTAATTCCTCAATGACTTCCTGTCCAGCTAGGAGCCATCACCCAAGTGTCAGAAATGCATCAGGGATCCAGAAAGGCCCAGAGGAGGCGGGCTGAAAGCTAGCCGGATAGGAGGCATGTGTGGGTGTGGTGGGTGTAGGTGTCACATGTGGGGGGGGTGTCACTTAGGCTAGAGGTGGGGTGGGGTCATATAAAGGGCAGTCATTTTGTCCCTTACCTCAGCCATCTTAGAATAAACGGCTGGTAACATCTTCCCTCCTTGCTGCCTGTTACCACTGCTTGTCTCACGGCCAGGGCGATGGATATTGAATCCATATTGTCTGCCCTCCGGGCTGAGGCCCTTCAGGATGGTGGACGGCACCTGCAGTCCCAGCTGACGCGTCTGCAGGGTGCTGCTGGGGTGGCTGCTCCCTCTGGCTCCAGTCACCCCCCCCACCCGGTATAGCCCCTCGCGGGAGGGTCGGGTGAGGGGCAGGAGCAGGAGCCCTGTGGCCGGGCCGCGTGCCAGTTCCCATGCGGCCGCGGCCGGCGAGGTTTCCCGCGCTCCTAGCACCTCCTCCCCGAGCAGGGCTCGGGGAGGCCGGCAGGTGGCCACGCAGCGGTCGGATGCGGGCCACGCTGCCCCCAACACTCCATCCCCTCCGGTCTCGCGGGCTTTGCGGAGGGCGGCCGCGAGACCTTTGGACAGGAGGGCACCAGCTACAAGATCTTCGCGGGTTGGGGCTCCGGCGATCCGTGGGTTGCTAACCCATTCTTCCGGTCGGGTGAGTAGGCGGCAGGTCGGCAGGGTTGTTTCCGGGGGGGGTTCAGGGGGCCGTGGTAAGGAGGCTGGATCGCCTCACCCCCATAGCAGCTCCCCTCCTGCTCTACCTTCCCTCTCTGCCTCCCCTGGGCCTGCACCTGTCACATTTCCTAATGCCCCTCCACCAACAGTTGGTCCCTTAGTGGTTGGCACTCCCCCCCTTTCCACTGTATCTGTCCCTTCCCTCCTCCCCTCCTCCTCACCTGGCCCCCTCGCAGCTGGGGCCCTTTCTGGTCCTACTGGACCTGCCCCTGGCACACTGCCCCATCAGCTGGCCCTCTCATGGTGGGGGCCCATCATGGCTTACCTGCCCCCCCTCCCCATCATCCCGGACTGTCACTTCCTGCTCCAGGCACTCTCGTTGATGGGTCCCATTCTACCCCTCCTGGCCCTACGCCTGCTGGTTTCCCATCCGCCTCTCCAGGCGCTTTCACAGCGGGGGTGGGAGGGTTGGGTTCCTTTTCACCTTTACTCTCTTCACAGATGGACCCTGGTCGCCTCACTGTGCGGTTCTCTGACGCTGTCGCTGGTGCAGTCCCTCCTGCGGTTACAGCTCCTGTGGGTCCGCTGCAACCTGGTGACCAGGTTATGGGGCCGCAGCTGCCTTCACATTCCATTGCTGCTGGTGAGTACGCTGGTTTACCTGGGTGTGCTTTAGGGGGTCTTGGCGCAGGGGTCTTACCTGAATGGGATGCTTTAATACAAACCATGAAACAATTTTTACAGTCTCTGGAGAAGGGACATCGCCCTGGGTTTCAGCCCCCTTGGGATCCAGAATGAAGTCTATTTAATTTCCAGAGCAAAAAGCCCTCGCAGTAGGCAGTGTCTTTATCTGAATTCTGAACATGTAGCGAGTTTTAGTAAACTGCTGTATCAACTGCATTATTACCACACCCGCTGCATTAATTGCATTATTACCACACCCGCTGCATTAACTGCATTATTACCACACCTGCTGCATTAATTGCATTATTACCACACCTGCTGCATTAATTGCATTATTACCATACCTACTGCATTAATTGCATTATTACCACACCTGCTGCATTAATTGCATTATTACCATACCTACTGCATTAATTGCATTATTACCATACCTACTGACTGTATTGCATTATTACCACACCTGCTGCATTAATTGCATTATTACCATACCTACTGACTGTATTGCATTATTACCACACCTGCTGCATTAATTGCATTATTACCATACCTACTGACTGTATTGCATTATTACTTACTTAGTTATTAATGCTTTAATTATTTTACTATTTGCAAGTTTATTTTATTCAGTACTCCTCACTTACTCACTACCCCTTTTTCTGTCCATAGCTTGTGAACTGTAACCAAGAATCCTAAGGTGGGGATTATACCACCCATACGCCATCCACCGATTTCTTTACAAGCTGCAACTATACTGTTCTCACTAATAACTGCAACTGTCTACTATATTCATCATTATTGGAGATATTGGAAGTTAAACTTAAAAAAAGTATCTTAGCTTCTAAATTGACCTCCTCAATTCTCTTAAAGCTACAGTACGCCTAAAATTATCTGCAGTTGTGTTCCTTGAATTGCCTGTTTCCAAGTGTAGCATAACAATTACCACTCCTGCTGCATTAATTGCATTATTACCATACCTTTGGCATCAATTACATTATTACCATACCTGCTGCATTAAATACCTACTACCCTACCTGCTGCATTGAAAGCATTACTACATATACATCTGGGACTTCAACATACCATTTTATGTAGCACTAGGACTACCTCCTGCATATGTGGATTATTTATATTTCACTTTCTAGGTATCGCTGCTTGGACTCTCTGATACATATTTTTATACACTCATTCTACTTGTCTTAGGCGCACCCTTATTTGTGCTTTTCTCTCCATTGTATTCCAAGGGGCTTAGAGGGGATTCCCCTTTTCCATAGGTGTGCTGCCTTGCTGTCATATTCTCTGTTTTCCTATCAGCGCTGAACCTCCTTCCTGATCTCGAATACATCATACCGGACCTGCTGCATTACATGCATTGCTGGTCTACATGTAGTGTTACATACTTTATTTGATTCGTTTCTATATTTATATGAATTTCCATGAACTCTGACACATTTTCACTCACAAAAATCAGCTGTTTTTAAACCACATACTCTGTGCTCCTTTTACATCAATTTCAGGACACGTTCTCTCTGCTTCCTGTTATTCTCTACAGCAAACCAAACCTTTAACAAATCAAGGGGGGCTTGTGAAACAAAGCAGGATTTCATTGTAAAAAAACACCTACGTGAGTGAAATACCAGTAACTGTATGTGGCTTTCTGTCAGGCAGGTTTTAGATATCTAAAGCGTCACTGTCCCCCCCACACCCCCACCACTGCCCCCCAACCTCCTCTATCCCCAGAAAAATGTGTATTTCATGTAAAATAGAATCTTTATGAAATGCTAATTCTGAAATATAACAGAGATAAAGTAGGGAGTATTTGTATTTCTCCTCCGCTTGACTTTCTTAAACTCAGGGCAGTGTCTAGTGTCATCCTGACAGCTGTCACCAGTGATGGCTGTGTCTTTGGAAAGATCTCCATAGACATCAATACTGTACTCTCACGCATGTGTGAGAGCACAGCAGTGACGTTGGCGTCCAAGAGGACCTACCGAATAAAGATGGCCGTGCTCGTAAGTAAATCTCACCCTTACATGTCCACCCTGCCAACGGAACCTCCAGTGGAGACTTAACTGTCGGAAGTCCCCAAATAGTGACAGTGCTGCCTTTAAATTCACTTTGAATCCACGACAATTCACATGTTAGAAACATTCACTTATAATGTAGGAGAGTTGTGAGGGAAACCTACTGATTCAGGGGATGTTCTGCGATATAGTCATGAGGGTGAAAGTACCACATAAAGTACCATTTATATTTGGGAATTATTATAATCCCAGATTCCATCATGTTCGCCACCATTTCTTACTGTGAAGTAAATAGCTCTTATTTAATCTACACCCTATCATAGTACCTGTTACCTGTTTATCTGAAGATCATTTTTTTCCAGAACAAGAAAGTGTGATAGTTTCATAAAGTAGAGTTTGGGCAAAAGATTCAGAGTCTAAATACTACAAAAGACTGTTAGCAAATGGACAATAAGCAAATAAGAAAAAACAAAAACCTGCACTCAATGTCCCATAACTTTTCACCAAGAAGTTCCATGAAAAGTGCTGTTTATTGATACATGGCCACACGACAGACCATTCTATTAACACACCGTGACAAGCAGGTCTAAACTCTGAATTAATATAGGGAGGGAGGACAGAAAATAGAGCTCTGGTAATACACTACGGACACTACGAGAGCACCATCCTTAAAATAGATTCTCTATAGAGAATGATGCATATTTTATTAAAGGGACACTATAGTCACCAGAACAACTATAGTATAATCAGTTTCTTCATGATATTTGCTGTATACACTGTATATTCAGAGAAAATGCAGTGTTTACCTTACAGCCTAGGGATACCTCCACTGGCTACTTTTCAGATGGCTGCTAGAAGTGCTTCCTGGGGCAGTGCTGCACAGTGTGACTGACATTCAGTATCTCCACCCTCTGCATGGAGTCATTGAACTTTCCTCATAGACATGCATTGATTTAATGTATCTCTGAGGAGATGCTGATTGGCCAGGGCTGTGTTTGACTTGTGCTGGCTCTGCCCCTCATTGACAGTCTCAGACAATCCTATGGGAAAGCATAATGTTTGGTTCAGAGAATCACTTATGATGATCTCAACCAAACAGAGATATCAGGGGTAGAGCCAGCAGCTGCAGACTTGAATAAAAGTAATATTTTACTATATTTAGGAATGCAAGAAGGCCGGGGGGGGAGGGGGAAGGGGGCTAAATGGTTGTTTAAACACTACATTGTCAGGAACACATGTTTGCATTCCTAATGTTCCTTTACAATGATTTAAAGGGCTTCCAGTTGTATGTGTATTTAAAGATCTCTTTGTATATAAATTTACATGCCTCTCAAACGGTGTTTAGGATACAGTAAACAGGACAACAGATTGTGGCTGATATGGTGGTTCCTGATATGGTGGTTCCTGTTTAAGGTTGTTGTTTGTCTTGGCTAAAATGAAACTGCTGAGGAAGTGTTTGTGGTAGACGCACAAGTAGACCAGTTGTCCTATAGTTCGTTTTCAGTTCCTCCCACTATAATTTGTAGAGCTGTTTGTTCTACATTTTTGTGATCTCTTTTACTGCCATGCATGAATCAATAAGCAGCACCTTTCATTAAATTTCCTGGTGAAAATTTGTGTGATACCAATATACTATGACAGCCGGTACTGCTGGGATTATTACAGCGAGGGCAGTGACATTACGGAACATACTATGACAGCCGGTACTGCGGGATTATTACAGCGAGGATAGTGACATTACGGAACATACTGTGACAGCCGGTACTGAGGGGATTATTACAGCGAGGGCAGTGACATTATGGAACATACTATGACAGCCGGTACTGCGGGATTATTACAGCGAGGGCAGTGATGTTATGGAACATACTGTGACAGCCGGTAATACTGAGATTATTACAGCGAGGGCAGTGACGTTACGGAACATACTGTGACAGCCGGTAATACTGAGATTATTACAGCGAGGGCAGTGACGTTACGGAACATACTGTGACAGCCGGTACTGCGGGGATTATTACAGCGAGGGCAGTGACGTTACGGAACATTCTGTGACAGCCGGTACTGTGGGATTATTATAGTGAGGTCAGTGACGTTATGGAGCATACTGTGACCGCCAGTACATAAGGTAGTACTGCTACATTAAAATAAGTCATGTTGAAGATTACTTCTTAATATGTTTTACTCTGTTTGTGTACCTTGGGAAGTCATAATATTACAAATAATAATTATTATTTATAGTACTAATATTTATAAAGCTCCAATGTATTCAGCAGTTCTGTACATTTGGGGAAACCAGACAACATAAGATATATGGACTGGTACATAAAAAACAGAGATCATGTCGGTAAACTGAGATGTAGTATTTACAACCTGTTACAGACCTCTCTGGATTTTATATTTTATTTCTTAGTTCGTCGGTTTGTTCTGCAATCGTAACTTTCTCTACGACTACCCTGATCTTCTTCCAAAAACCAAACCAACTACCGAACGACCGACCCCCCAGCAGAGGAGTGTGCAGTCTATTAACCTCCCAGACTTGTGGTTAACCGCAGTTTAATTGACGAAAGGCTGGGTGGCCGCCACTCGTATAGTCGAACACGTGGTGGCGGCCATCTTGTTTAGTCGAACAAGTCTAGCGGGGTTTTGTCGTTGAGCGCATGGAATTAAAATCGGACACTCGACGGCATGAGCACCGATGGGACTTCCATCTCCTGTTAGGTAAGACTGGAATTGCACAAACGAAGCGCCGTTCGGTAGAAATAATCTACCAAACCAGATACACTCACTGGCTCTGTGCATGAATGGCTCCATTCGACTATTTGAACATTACTTCGACTGGTTGAAATAGACCGGCCAGACAGCCTAATTCTCTGGAACTATTTTGAGCATTAAACCTTACCTGCGGTCGGTCAAAAAGAGACTTCCAGTTAACTTTTGAACCCCTGAACCGAACTGGGTGATTTTTAAGTATGTTGTTCCCCCAGATCAGGGCTACCAGGGGATGCAGGTATTATGGGGTTCTCATATGTTTTTAGGGTGTTTTCAAAAATGTATAAAAACTTGTTCTTTTTTGTTTGGAGATAATTGAGTTGATAGAATGTAAGCAGGGCCCTCCACCTCTCTGTTCCTGTACGTCCAGTTGTCTGGTTACAATTTCATGTCTGTTAGTCCACCCATTGTACAGCGCTACGGAATCTGATGGCGCTATATAAATAATAATAATACAATAATTAAGTCAATTACTTACCAAGCACAGGGGAGGGATTGTGCATAATGTATGGGAGTGTCTCAATGTAAAACTCTGTTGTCATTGACTTGTTAATCTTGTGTCCTTATGCCCAACAAGGTCCACCTGGGTGTCACCCTTGTTGGGAAACCTGCATAAAAGGCCAGCATGCCTCCATTAAAATTCAGTTCCTGTTTTACCCTCAACACAGAGCCTCGTCTCGTGCTTGAAGGGGAAAGCCACACCTACTATAATCCCTGCTATTGGGACACTTTTCTGGAGTGTTGTAATCACTAGCTCTTGTAAGAGCTGTTCCTGCTCTACTCTACAGCCTCCCTCTCATCAAGTGGGGGAAAAGGAAATCTCCTGGCGGTGAAAACCCCTCTCTCTGCTGGGATGCCGCTACACAACCTTTTAATACAGAGAGTCCATGAGCTTGTAATCTAATAGTAACATAAAAGGTATCTGTTATTCAGACATTCACTAACCTGCAGTGACCTCCCAGTTGTCTTCTATTTCAATATCCACAAATTCCTGAATTTCTTCTGCACAAAAGATAATAAGCCATAAATTAGTAAATGACTCGATACACTGGTGAGAGTTTGCTGTATATGTATGATAAAAAAAACAAACAAACAGACTGTAGGACTTGATTACAAGCAAAGTTTTCACTTTGAACTTTTCGAGGCATCTTGTTCAGTTTCACAATTTTTGAAGATGCTTGACAGCAATTTGGAAATTGATAGATGTGAAGCTCAATTAATCCAGATTACACAACTTTTTTCCAGAATAATGCCTCGATCACTGCTACTGTGAAATATCAAAATTTTTAAATAAATCGTATAATGTCTCACAATGCATGGCATGTGTTCAGGCTTACAATGTGTGCTCTGGACTCTGTAATGAGGCAGTTTCATGGAATGTGACGATATTGGGGAAGGATACCAGTCTCACAGGGAGTTATCATCATTCTCCTTTTATTGAGCTACAAGAGGGAACCTCATTTGAATTATTTGTACACACTACCCTACATTGCGCACAAAAAGTGACAATCCTGTCTTTTTTTTTCTACAAAAGCTGTGTGACCCGTGGTTGAACCATCATCACCCCCCCACCCCCCATACTGGTAAACAATTTCAGATCCAGTACAGGACCATATGTATCTATACATTTGGTAGTTGAAAGTTACAGTGTCTTCGTAGTCTAAACTATGTGGGTAAAACCTATACTGAACTTCATGAGAGTATCAGAGGGCACTGGTCCTCCGTACACACCACTAATTGCAATGGAGCATCAGATGTGGTCAGACATGTGGCCATTGACTGCCTCTGAGATTCCTCATGAGTACCTATGTTCTACTTACCAAATACAGTGACATTGATGGTAGCTATCTCAGATACCTGCTTGTCTCTTATTGTTACTCTATATAGCCCACTGTCATTGTTCTGCATATGGTTAATTGTTAACGAACCATTCCCTGGTGTTATAAACATTCGATCCTCATAGCCATTCTCTGGGAATTGTTTTATAATGCTTCCTTCTTCGGACAAACGAATGGTGCAGATGACAAGTTGCAGTGGAGGAGACAGGCTGACCAATTCCCATCTGATCTGAAGCCATGTGAGCGGCTTAGAGAGATTATACGAGGTGGAGAGAATGACAGAACTGTTCTCATACCCGCCCACGTGGAGCTGATGGACAGTAATGCTAACTGCCCCCACTGAACCTAGAACAGAGAAAATATTTATAGTCATTAAAAACTGATTTTACATGTCAAACTCGGCACGGTTTCACCTGTTTCAGGTTCGAAAAGCTGGAGGTATTTACTCCATAAGACATTTTTTCTTAGGACTGGAAATATATATATTTATACATTACTACAAGGCCTCAATCCCAGAACATGACCTTCAAATTCCCCTGAATCCTCTTGTCTAACATTTAGATTGTAATCTCACTATCGAGCAAAGTACTTCGTAAAAAAGAGTTTTTCTTGCTAGATGTGAACTCAAGGACAGGGCCCTCTTTTCCTTCAATGTTTGTCTGTGGAATTCCTCCATTGTACAGCACTACAGAGGTTGATGGCACTTTGTAAATACCAGTAATTATTATAATAATAATAATATGGGACAGGAGGCATGAAGCAGGTAATGTGTGAGGCCGGTGTCATGGAGAGGGATACCAAGTGCTCTTGCCAAGATAATATAGAGTGTGGAAAGTTGACAGAAATAGAGATGCTCTCAGTTCAATGTCAATCTGTAATACTGCTCCACAGCAATAATACCCACAGCAAGTTGTCTTCAATAATACTCACAGCAATGTTTCCAATAATTATCATAGTAATGTGTTTCAAAATAATGCTCACAGTAATGTTTCTAGTGTTACTTACAGAAATGTACCTCCAATAATACTCAGTATTGTTTCTAATAATACTCACATTATTGTGTCTCCAGTAATACTCACAGTAATGTTTTTAATAATACTCACAGTGATGGGTCTCCAATAATACTCAGTATTGTTTCTAATAATATGTTTTCAATAATGCTCACAGTAATGTTTCCAAAAATACTCTCAATAATGTTTCCAATAATACTCACAGTAATGTGTCTCCAATAATACTCAGTAATGTTTCTAATAATACTCACAGTAATGTTTCTAATAATACTCACAGTAATGTGTTTATAATAATAATAATACTCACAGTAATGGGTCTCCAAAAATACTCACAGTAATGTTTCTAATAATACTCACAGTAATGTGTTTATAATAATAATAATACTCACAGTAATGGGTCTCCAAAAATACTCACAGTAATGTTTCTAATAATACTCACAGTAATGTGTTTATAATAATAATAATACTCACAGTAATGGGTCTCCAAAAATACTCACAGTAATGTTTCTAATAATACTCACAGTAATGTGTCTCCAATAATACCCATAGTAATGTCTCCCATAATACTCACAGTAATGTTTCTAATAATACTCACCATAATGTTTCTAATACTCTCAGTAATGTGTTTCTAATAATGCTCTCAGTATTATTTCTAATACTCCGAGAAATGTCTCCAAATGGGCCGGCCTTAGGGGTGTGCGAGCTGTGCGGTCGCACAGGGCGCCATAACACAAGGGGCGCCCTGGCAGCCGACACAGCTCACAAGCTGAGTCCATCCTGTTACATGAAAAATTACTCCATGATGGTCCAGTGGTGCACCTAGCAGGAGCTGCAGCCAGATCATCATAACTTCTCCCTCGCACTTCTGGCGCTCAGTTAGTGAGTCAGAGCGCAGCCTCAGAGATTCCCAGGCCGCGCTCTGACTCCACACAGCGCCAGAACCTCGAGGGAGAAGTTATGATCAGCACTCCCTGCTATTCACCTCCAGCCCACCAGAGGCCAGCACTGGAGATCGGGGACAGAGGAGACTTGTGATCGGGCACCAGAGAGAATGGGCACTGCATGGAAGCAGAGGCAGCTTGGGACAAGGTAGGAGACTGTAATACAGCCTTGAGTTCCCAGCCACAGAAACTCCTCCAGTCTGTGACAGGGAAAGAAGATGCTGAGTATAGGTGGTGTTACATCAGCATTAGTCTGCTGGTGTAAGACTACCTACCTATCCTGTCTGTCATATACCCTCATCTGTACCCTAACTGTGATAATGTGTGTATATCTGTGACTGCGTTTTATGATGTGTCTGTGTACATCATGTGTGTTCATATCTGACAAGCTTCTTCACTAAAACGACAATTGTCAGTGAATTTCAAAGTCACCTGTGCTTCGAATTCAGCTATTTTGGCGCCAAATATGAAATCCGCTTAGAATTCCTGAAAAAAATTCATGTTAGTAATGTTAGTTATCTGTATGTGACTGTGTCTATCTATGTATATGCGACATGTGATCTGTGGATTTGTATGTGTATTAATGGTTAAACGCTCTAATGTACATATAGAGCAAATTAAAATAAGGAAAATATTTTACAAAGAAACTTTGAATTAAAAAAATACACAGTGTGTATTAACTGAGTGTGTGTGTACCCATCATCATGCGTGAGTGTCTGCATGCCTGTAACTGAGTGTGTCTGACTGTCTGCTTGTAACTGTTTGTGTAACTGTCTGCTTGTGCCTGTGAGTGTGACTGTATACAGCTTTTTACTGGGGGGATGGGGCGCCGTGAAGACTTTTCGCACAGGGCGCCTAATGGCCTAAGGCCAGCCCTGTCTCCAATAATACTCACAGTCATGTGTTTCCAATAATCTGCACAGTAATGTTTCTAGTAATACTCAGAGTAATGTTTCTAGTAAGATTCACAGTAATGTGTTTCTAATAATGCTCACAGTATTATTTCTAATAATACTCACAGTAATGTGTCACCAATAATACTCGCAGCAATGTTTCTAATAATACTCACAGTAATGTCTCCAATAATACTCACATTAATGTTTCTAATATAACTCACAGTAATGTGTCTCCAATAATACTCACATTATTGTCTCCAATAATACTTACCGTAATCTGTCTCCAATAATACTCAACGCAATGTTTCCAATAATACCCACAGTAATGTGTTGCTAATAATACCCACAGTAATGTGTTGCTGATAATGCTCACAGTAATGTGTCTCCAATAATACTCGCAGCAATGTCTCCAGTAGAGTTGAGCGAACCCGGACTGTAAAGTTCGGGTTCGTACCGAACATTACGTTTTTTGGACCCCGGACCCGAACACGGACATATCACTGTATGTTCAGGTTGGAGTTCGGTGTTCGGCGATTTAATGGAGCATTTTGAAAGGCTGCAGGCAGCCAATCAACAAGCGTTTGACTCGTGTGCCCTTAGAAGCCACCACAGCCATGCTTACTAATGGCATGGCTGTGACTGGCCAGTGCAGCATGTGACCCAGCCTCAATATATAAGCTGGAGTCGTGTAGCGCCGCACGCACATGCGGTCTTATTAGTGTAGGGAGAGGATGCTGCCTCTGTAAGGGACAGCTTAGGAAAGAATTCTGCAAACTAGTACATGGGTGGGGTGCACTTCATATCTGAGAGTCAAATAGAAGCGTCAAATACTACGGCTACATCAGAGTTTTAAAAAGTAATTTTTTTTTGGGTGCTTAAAAGTACATTAGTGGGGTGCACTTCATATCTGAGAGTCAAATAGAAGCGTCAAATACTGCGCTTACAGCACAATTGTAAACATTCTAACTGTTTTGCTGCTAAACTGCTAAATAGTACATTTTGGTGTGCTCTTCATATCTGAGAGTCAAATATAAGCGTCAAATAGTGCGATTACAGCGCAGTTGTAAAAATAGAATAGCTCAGAATAGCGCAGCAATGTCTCCTCTCTACTGCTCAGAATAGTGCAGCAATGTCTCCTCTCTAATGCTCAGGATAGCGTGCCAATGTCTCTCCTCTACTACTCAGGATAGCGCAGCAATGTCTCCTCTCTACTACTCAGGATAGCGCAGCAATGTCTCCTCTCTAATGCTCAGGATAGCGCAGCAGTGTCTCCCCTCTACTGCTCAGGATAGCCCAGCAATGTCTCCTCTCTAATGCTCAGGATAGCGCAGCAATGTCTCCTCTCTAATGCTCAGAATAGTGCAGCAATGTCTCCCCTCTAATGCTCAGGATAGCGTGCCAATGTCTCTCCTCTACTACTCAGGATAGCGCAGCAATGTCTCCTCTCTACTACTCAGGATAGCGCAGCAATGTCTCCTCTCTAATGCTCAGGATAGCGCAGCAGTGTCTCCCCTCTACTGCTCAGGATAGCCCAGCAATGTCTCCTCTCTAATGCTCAGGATAGCGCAGCAATGTCTCCTCTCTAATGCTCAGAATAGTGCAGCAATGTCTCCCCTCTACTGCTCAGAATAGCACAGCAATGTCTCCCCTCTACTGCTCAGGATAGCGCAGCAATGTCTCCTCTCTAATGCTCAGAATAGTGCAGCAATGTCTCCCCTCTACTGCTCAGAATAGCACAGCAATGTCTCCCCTCTACTGCTCAGGATAGCGCAGCAATGTCTCCCCTCTACTGCTCAGGATAGCGCAGCAATGTCTCCCCTCTACTGCTCAGGATAGCGCAGCAATGTCTCCTCTCTACTACTCAGGATAGCGCAGCAATGTCTCCTCTCTAATGCTCAGGATAGTGCAGCAATGTCTCCCCTCTACTGCTCAGAATAGCACAGCAATGTCTCCCCTCTACTGCTCAGGATAGCGCAGCAATGTCTCCTCTCTAATGCTCAGGATAGTGCAGCAATGTCTCCCCTCTACTGCTCAGAATAGCACAGCAATGTCTCCTCTCTACTGCTCAGGATAGCGCAGCAATGTCTCCCCTCTTCTGCTCAGGATAGAGCAGCAATAAGCATCATAGACTGGCTTAGAGAGGCAGCTCTCGGCTCCCAGACTACTAGCCCGTTACTGCTATCAATTGGTATGACTAAGACAGAGTATCATTTCCATCAATCATATCTCCAGTTGAAAGAAATTCACTATAAAATCATAGAATATTAATAAAATAACATTACAGACCAATGTAGTTATGGTGACAGGAGTGCGAATGAGCCCTCCCAGGGTAAGTAGTTGTGAACGATGCAGGGCTTAGCTCATTGGCCGACAACAGTCAGGTGGTACAGGTGCGTCCACAGGAGGCTGTAATGTGCGCCTAGTAGAGTCAGGTAATTTGTCAGACCTTTCACAAATATTTTAACCAGTTACGCTTGGAGGGTGCCAGAGACCTGCTGGGACCATAATCACTACAGCGGGCCACAGTGGTAATGGTGCTTGGAGTGTTCCTTTAAAATAATATTTTCGCAGGTAAATAAGATTTCACAAGTGTAAAATTAACCCCCAGCTGAATAAAAAAAAAAGTTAGGTATTTCCCCCACCCATGACATGATTCCACTCACGTTAAGCAGGTTTGTGTGGAAAATAAAGCCATATTGTCAAGGTGCACTGTAACCCCCATTCCTCCCCTCACCCCCCCCAGGTTTACAGAGTGACAGAGCACAGTTACATTCATTCCTCTTCTACCTCTGATGTTAAACTAATAACCTACATATGTATGAGGCAAAAACCACATCCTGCTCTACCAGTCAAGGACCCTCACACACTGTAACCTTCTTATAATTAATATCATTTATCTGAAATGCTGGATTGTCAGAGATCGGAAGGTTAGAAATAGAAAGCTCAAATAATATTGTATTCCTCATGCTAGAATGTTATACTAATTATTGAGTTTATTAGCCCCACCTCTCCACCAAGCCTCCTCTGGCTGAGATCATTATTTTATTTATCATTATTTTTTTTTGCCCCAGAATCCTGCATAAAGCTGTACGGGTTCTGGTGCCTAAAGTGGTTCTGGTGCCTTTAAAATTAATTCAAAAACGAAACTTAAATAAAGTAATCATAGGCATTCATAGCCCATTTCATTAAGGTGTGCACTGGGAAATGTTTTCCTTATGTTATTTTGTAGAGTTATGTAATGTGAATATTTATTAAAATGTTGAGTGGATGTGTGGTGTGGGTGTGTAGGTGTAGGGTGGCTGTACGTGTTGTAGCTTTGTGTGTGTGTGGTGTATAAGGCGGGCTGTGTGTATTGTGTGTGGATAGCTATGAGTGGTATGTGTAGCTGTGTGAGGAGCTGTGAGTGATACGTTTGTGCCTCTGTGACTGTTGTGTGTGGCAATGTGTGAGGTGTGGGAAATACATGTGGGAAGTAGTTACATTTACATTTAGTACAAGATGGGAAGGGAGATTCAAGTTAGCTCCCCTTCAGTCCAATATAGTTGCAGGTGGGGGGCGGTGGTATGGAAACAAGGATAGTAGCTGTAATGATGGATGGGGCAGTAATGGGGTTTAGTGGCAGTAGTGAGGGATGGGGATGTAGTGGGTGTTTGGGACTGTAGTAGGGGTTTAGTAGCTGTAGAGAGGGGGTTAGTGTAGGATAGTGGCTGTAGTATGGAAATAAGGATAGTAGCTGTAATGATGGATGGGGCAGTAATGAGGTTTAGTGGCAGTAGTGAGGGATGGGGATGTAGTGGGTATTTGGGACTGTAGTGGGGGTTTAGTAGCTGTAGAGAGGGGGTTAGTGTAGGATAGTGGCTGTAGTATGGAAATAAGGATAGTAGCTGTAATGATGGATGGGGCAGTAATGGGGTCTAGTGGCAGTAGTGAGGGATGGGGATGTAGTGGGTGTTTGAGACTGTAGTGGGGGTTTAGTAGCTGTAGAGAGGGGGTTAGTGTAGGATAGTGGCTGTAGTATGGAAATAAGGATAGTAGCTGTAATGATGGATGGGGCAGTAATGAGGTTTAGTGGCAGTAGTGAGGGATGGGGATGTAGTGGGTATTTGGGACTGTAGTGGGGGTTTAGTAGCTGTAGAGAGGGGGTTAGTGTAGGATAGTGGCTGTAGTATGGAAACAAGGATAGTAGCTGTAATGATGGATGGGGCAGTAATGGGGTCTAGTGGCAGTAGTGAGGGATGGGGATGTAGTGGGTGTTTGAGACTGTAGTGGGGGTTTAGTAGGTGTAGTGAAGGGGTTAGTGTAGGATAGTGGCTGTAGTATGGAAATAAGGATAGTAGCTGTAATGATGCATCTTATGTCAATATTACAGTCACTAACCCCAGGAATGGGGTTTAGTGGCAGTAGTGAAGGATGGGGATGTAGTGGGGGTTAGGGAAGTATTGTGGGACAGAAGCTTCAGAGGGTTATAAAGGCAGTAGTGGAGCTATAGTTAGGAGCTATAGTGGGGGTTAAGAGGCTGTAAGGGGCTCTAGTAGGGATTAGGGGTAGTAGTGTGGGATAGGGTATTTAGGGACAGTAGTGGGGGTTAGGGCTATTTGAGGGGTTTAGAGGCTAAATGGTGGAGTTAGGAGCATTAGATACTAAAGTAGGGTTTATGAGCTGTAGTGGAAGCCTTAGTGGGTGTTAGGACCTTTAGTGGGGGGTTAGGGGTGGAGTAGTAAAAGGGACACTCCAGACCATTTTTGCTTGCTGAAAATCTTTATGTGAAGAGTGGTCCTATTTTTTTTTTTCAATAGAAATTTACACTTTTATAAATTAAACTGGTTACACCCTCTACTTACTGTCATCAGACAACAAGTAATGTTACTTCCTGGTTTGGTTAGCTCTTTTGCACTGAACGCAACAGGCATCAATTGACCAGAGCACCTGACTTACAAAGATTTCTCACTGAACTGATTGGACAGCCACAGAAAGTCTGAGTGGGGTTAGAAAAGATCTGCAGGTTTTGCAAGCTGTTTTTAGATATAACTACAATGAAAAAGTTTAATTTGAAGTATATCTGCTAAACAGTGATTATTTTGTATTTGGACATGGGGAGTATCTCTTTAAGGAACTAAGGAGAACGTTACATAAAAAAAATAAAATTAAAAATTAAATAACGTGTCACCTAGTGGTCTGGTGGTCAAGAGGTTTATCTGGTGGTCTGGTGGGAAATGCATGGCAATGCTATAATACAGTAGGAGGAGCTGAGATCTCCCTCTTAGCATCAGGTCCTGCATCAGGAACTGTCTAAGCAACTATTGGGCAAATAGTTAAAAATCTTCAGAAATGCGTAGGTTAATTGGTGGCTGGCAACATTAAAATGAATAAATCACTTATTGTTGGCCCCCCATATTGCTATAATGGAGGTTGTTCCATATGCCCCCACCCGCTTGTCTCCTAAATGTTTAAAACTAGTGACTGGGCAGCAATTTCTACCTATTCACTAGAAAAGACCCCAACAAATGGGGATGAGGCCTGTGAAAAAACTGGAGGAGGGGGCTTAGCACATCCGTGTTTCCATCTGTGGGCCAACAGTCAGGCGGAACATACTCATATTCAACCCATTCCCCCATCCATGGTTATCAGGTAGAAGCTATTCCAATATTAATGGGGAGGAACTAGTATCCCCCCAGCTCCCACTCATTAGAGGCAGGTGTGGGCCATAATATGCATATTATGGGAAATAATCTACTTAGAATTAGAATCTAATTAGGGCCCACAAATGTAAGCTCTCACCCATGGCCGACGTTTGTGGGCCATAATATTAATCATCATGGGTGAGGACCTATTGCCCACGCACTCAAATAATGTTATGCTCCCCCCTCCCCCCCCAAGGTGGCTTCTCCTCCTAAAATAAATCAAAGAATCTACCTACCTCAATCCAATAATAGTGATAGGGGGCAATTAAACCAATACCTGTTGGAAAAAAAATGCAGTTAACATTAGAACATTAGAAGTCTTCTTTCTCCTAATTCTTCTTATCTTCTTCCCCAAAAGGGCCAGAATAGTGAAACCCTCTTCTTATTAAAATAAAAAGAAAACCTTAATCCAAAAAAAAGACACAAAAAAACAACAACCTGAAAGACTATTTTGCACCCTGGACAAGACCCTCAAAAAAACGTTATGTCTCTTTCTCCTCCAACTCCTTTGTGTGTCTATTTTTACCCTTCCTCAGCCCCTCTGTGTGTCTCTTTCACCCCAGCACCTTAGTAAGTCTATTTCTCCCTCTCAGCCCCTCTGTGTTTCTAATTTTCTTCCCAGACCCTCTGTATGTCTATTTGTCCCTCCATGGCCCTCTGTGTCTTTTTAGCCCCTCAACCCCTCTGTGTGTATATTTGTTCCCAGTCCCTCTTTGTCTCTTTATCCTCCTCAGCCCTCTCTGTGTCTCCTTGTCCTCCCAGAGCTCCTATTGAGTCTTGTTGTCCCCCCTAGAACCTCTGTGTATCCATTTGTACCAAACACATGTCTGTGTCTCTTTTACCCCATCCCCAGCACCTTTGTGTGTCCCTTTTCTCCCCTCAGTGCCTCTGTGTGCCTCTTCCCGCCTGCCCTCTATGTGCCTCTCTCCCCCAAGTCCCTCAATACGCCTCATTAACCCCAACCATTGCCTTTGTTTTATTGCTGGCTATCTGCCCTCTTTCTTCCAGCAATTCCTTCAGGGTCGTTTGTTTTAGTGCAGTATAGTTCGTCTCCATTCACGATTCCATTCATATAACCGAACATATACGAACCACAGCTTGAGAGCGAACTGCTGCTTTCATTAATCCGTTTGTGTGACTGAAGTGAAGTGAAACCGCTGCTTCCTTTCGATGAGAGGCTTGTGTCCCGCCGCTTGCCACCAATTGTAATGGAGCTCCAATACCCTGCATAGGTATCTTCACTATTCTTTAATCAAAGATGAAAGAAATAATGTAGTAATCCAAGACCCCTTCCCCCAGGCAACTAGATGACACATAGTTCTGGGAGTCAACTGAGTTTATTTTGGCCACACACGGCTCTTATGGAGTCTCCACCTCAAAATCACAAGGGTTTTCCTCCCAAGAGTCTCTGTTTTTGAGAGATAATTGAGTGAGAAAACTAGAACTCAATTATCTCTCAGATACAGGAAATCATACGCAACATCAAAATTTTCATTAAAAAAATACACTTTAAAAAAATAGGAACCCAATAGCCTAGTAGCTTGGGTCTGCAAGCTCACTTTGTCAAAATAGCGCTTAGATCACTTTGTTGGTTTGGGAATGTCATTCGACTGAAGTTTTGACCGGTCAGCCATGAGGTGCTGCCCCAAAACAGTTCCAGAGAAAACAAGGCAAAGACTGGTTGTATTTTGGGGGATTCTCACACTAGCACCGACAAATGCTCCCCCTGGCTGTTAGGGAGCAAATGCTCCCCCTGTTCGGTAGTTCATCACCATTCTCATAACTGTTAGGTAAGTTGGATGGGCAGAGTTTCCTGGATGTCCGGGTTGCATATCCAAAAATAGTTCCAAGATGAACCTGGGTTTTGGTACGGGGGGTGGACCACTGCGCTATGGCTTCAACCTTGGCCGGTTCAGGTTTCCCTCTCCCCCCCGCTGGTGTCCTAAACACTGCACTTCTGTAATCCCATATGGCATTTGCTGGATTTCAGGGTTAAGCCAGCCTCTCTGATCTGGTCTACCATCGCTCCTATATGTCTTAGATGTTCTTCCCAAGTCTTGCTAAAAATTACAATGTCATCCAAGTATGCACATGTGTAATCTTGGAAGCCATTGAGCAGCCGACCACCATACGTTGGACGGTGCTTGTGAGCCAATTAAATATTTCTAGCTGTTCATGTCAGAAGACATTTCAGCTAATGGTTGAGCAAACCAATTTATTTGCCAACCAATATCTGACTGCGAATCTGGGGTCACATTATAATTGGAGAAATATGTGGCATCCCACGGATCTAACTCTAGTTATGGATATCGTAAATGTGGCGGCCACCCCTATTAGGAGAGGTTTTCTGCCGCCAGAGATGTTCTTTTCCCCCTAGTGGGAGGGATGCTGGAAAGCAGAGCAGGAACAGCTCTTATAAGATCAAGTGATTAAAGCACTCCAAGAGGAAGGGAGACAGCTGTATAGCTTTCTCCCACAAACATGAGATGAGGCTCTAGGTTGTGGGAAAACTGGTTTTATGGTAATCCTCATGTAAGAGGTACTCCCCCCTGGACCTGATGGTAGCCTGCAACAAAAAACACCAACCGATGACATTGGCCCCCAGGTCCAGGACACTCCCATACTTACTTATATAATCCCACCCCTATGCGTGGGAGATAATTGAGTCAGATACTGTAATAACACAATTATCTCCAGGCACAAAAAACAGAAGTTTTACCAACACCCTGAAAGTACCCCCACAACCATGTGTTACGCTACTTGGGTGATTTGGATTGGAACTCAACTGCAGCTTGTAAAACTCCCTAATTACAATAGTGAAGAAACAGAGAATCTTTAAAGTATCAATACTGTAGCTTTAAGAAAAGAGGAATCGCTGGTAACTTGATTCAAACAAAGTTTTAATAAGTATTTAACTTAAATGAATTGCATTTAGGCAATAATCCAATAAGAAGAAGTGCAAGTAATAGACAACACAAAGTTCATTATTAAGTATTTCCTCAAAGATGCATTAAGTAACATTCTTTAGGTTAATGAGAATAATCTTCACTTCACTTCATTCAATAATAGTCACTTTACGCAAGTATCTGAGAATATTTGCAAAGCAGGAACAGTTCATAGTGAATAAACATGATGGGAGTTGTCCTCCATATAATTAGTAGCTTGAAGCAGTGAAGATTTGAGTAAGCAAGCATTAGTTCATTATTAAATGATATTGTAGACAAATAGCTGAAAGATATACTTAAGGTTAATATGTGTAGTCCTCCAATAGTTCAGAGATATGGTCCACTTGTAAAGTAGCAAAGTATCCGTTCTCCAGTAATCCTTTATGGCATGCAGCAATCCTTGCATTGGCTCAAAGGCTGGAACGGCTTGTCTGAGCTTGTGGAGAGGTAAGTCTGGTGGAAGTAGCTCCCAGTAGCTGAGCCTGTGGAGCCCGTGGTCTCACGGAGGCAGCTCACACACAATCACCAAGCACCCTCTCTCTGGCCCAGTCTCCCTAAATACCGTCAGAGCTGTGTCAGAGGGGGGCGGGGTCCGGCTCCTCACAGCTGAGTGCCGAACCCGGAAGTGTTACCGCATGACACAATGGAAACCCCATAAAAGTTACATCCCCTGATAGCCCCGATCTGGGTGAACAGCATATCTAAAAGGGGTTCAGGGGTTCGGGATTTTCATGAAGGTTTTAGCTTAACCGACCGCACACAAAATTACTGTCCGGTGGCGGTGTTCGCGCCGTCGAGTGTCCGATTTGGGTTCCATGCACTCGATGACCAAACACCCCTCTGTGTGTTCGCAGCTTAAGATGGACGCCACCACGTGCTCGCATTTCAAATGGCGACGACCCAGCCGACCGCTTGGAACGTTCATGAGTTAGAAGTGTTAATGAGGGAATAACCTTTAATAGGTGGCATACTTCTCGTACGGGTGGTCCAGTCATTCGGTGGTTTATTCGGTAAGGGAATGACAAGAATAACAAAATGAATGAGAATGAAATATCCAGAACATATAGTCGAAAGCGCAAATAGGGGATTATAAGTTATGGTTAGGGTGATCCGTCACAGTAAAAGAGCCAATTATCAGGTCCTACTGGTACAAGCACCCCATCATGGCTACCCCTCTTTTCCCAGGTGTTTTGAAGAGGGATTGCTATGAGTAGCTGCTGCGTTTCCTCCACTTTAACGATAACGCACTAAACCCCCAAGAAACTACCCACTGTTTGACAGGCTCTACAAAATCCGGCCCCTAATCTAACTCCTGTCAGACAAATTTTCACAAAATTATGTCCCTGATGAAAATATTTATGTAGATGAATCCCTATTGAAGGTCAAGGGTAGATTGCTTTTTAAGCAGTATATCCCTTCAAAACGGACCCAATACGGTGTAAAATATTACAGATTATGTGAGTCCAGTTCTGGATATACGTGGGCGTTTCATATTTACCAAGGGAAGGATAGCCATCTTGACACACTAGGAAGCCCTGATTCTGTGGGTACAAGTGGCAAGATTGTATGGGATCTAATCCTACACTTGTTAAATAAATGGTACAGGCTGTGGGTTGACAACTATTATGCAAGTTTTGAATTATTTAAAAATGTATTTTGCTTTGATACCCTAGCCTAGCCTGTGGTACTGTGCGGAAGAATCGCAGAGGATTCCCCCAAACCCTGGCAAGAGGCAGATGCAGTAGTGGCTCCCTTTCGACGCTCCACCAGGATGAGTTGCTTGCCCTTCGGTTCACAGATATGAAGGATGTATTCATGCTGTCTACAATGCATGACAAAACTACAGTGCCAGTGCCTGTGAGAGGTGGAACTGAGCAGCTGGAGAAGCCAAAATGCGTTGTGGACCACAGCAAGTTTATGGGGGGAGTAGACCTGGCTGACCAATGCATACAGCCCTATCTAGTGAACCTAAAGAGTAGGACCTGGTACAAGAACATTGCAATCTACGTGAGCCAGATTGACATTTTCAACTCCTATGTGCTTTATAAAAAGGAAGCCATAGGTAGACCATAGCCATTTTTAGAGTTTATGGTCAAAAGTTTGTGTGAAATTTTATTTGCCCAGGCCCCCAATCTTTCCCCTTTGGAATCTGAAGAAGTCCAAAGACTTTTTGGCAATAATTTCCCTTCCCAAATCCCCCCCCCACATTGTGTAAAAGGTCACCACAAAAAAGTGCTGTGTTTGCTACAAGAAAGGAGTCCGAAAGGACTCCAGTTATTATTGCCCAACCTGCCCATCTCTACCCACCCTCTGCATAACAGACTGTTTCAAAGTCTACCATACAGAGCTGAACTTGAGTTAAATCACTCCTTATGGGACTTTGGCAGTTTGTTGGATTTCCCTGGATTCCCTGACCTCGGCTTGTCCTGACTACGCTTCGTTAGCTGGCTGTACCGACCCATTGGCTTGTTTTACCGACTACTCTGACTTCTGGATTCCCCTGACCTTGGCCTGTCCCTGTTTATGCTAGCTATTCTAAAGTGGCTACACCAAACAATTCAAAATATAATACATTTGTAGTACTTGTTAAAATGTGAATTTACAAAGTAAAATTCTAATCATAGGGTAAATACTCAAAGGGTAATAAAATAGTTTTTTTTTTAAACTTTGCAAACTTTTCACACAGTAACTCTCTTTGTGAGATCAAATTGTATGTGGGGGTACTGTTATATTCATGTGAGCAAACAATAAAACCTGGAAACATGGTACATGGGGGTGCTGTTATATTCAGGAGAGAATGTTAAATCAAAATACTGAGGTTTTATTGCACTAACTAATATCAGGATTATTACATTTCCTGTGAAAATTGAGTTAATGTGTGTGAAAAAGCACAAATAAAACTATAACCACTAAGTGGGCCCTGCATTTCTGATAAAAAAATGGTTTTGACCAAACATATCAATACGCACCATTTGGAATACTCTGGGTTGCCTACTTTTGAAAATGGTATGCCATAATAGTGAAAATGTTATTACCCAGGCTGTGAAAGTACAGTTTTATGTGAAATAAAGCACCAAAAATATCTGAACACCAACTTTGGCTAGGGTTTGTGACTAAGTGGCTACTCCAAAAGACTGGACATAGCCAATTTTGAATACCCTGGGATGTCTGCTTTTTCAAATGGCATGCCATGATGGGGGGAATTTTCATTTCTGGACTGCCATACGGTCTCACTTGTAACCTAGGCCCAGCAAGCCAATCTACCAAATTTCTAAAACCTATATATTGGTGTTACTGTGTTACTTGTGATACATCGCTGAATACAAATATGTGTATTTTATTGCAGTAAAAACAAACAGTATTATGACATTCACAGTTAAAATGTCATGCAGAACTTTTTTTTCAAACCTTTTTAGACTTTTTTCATATAAAATTGTAGATTATGCTAACTTTAGTGTACCGATAATCTTAATTTTATTAATGACAGGAGGTGAGTATTTGCTTAAGTCTTTCTTTACTTAAGCTTCACAGCAGCACTTTTTTTACTTAGTAACAGGGTAACCAATCAGAAAAAGAGATAACAAGGTATAAGAGTCCCTCCCTGTGATGTCACTTCCTCTTTCTGGCTGCGAACAAATAGGAACAGGGACTGTAACTGAACCAGATGAAGAATTCAGGATGCCAGATGAGAAAGCAAATGTTAGAGAGGGAACAGGAACGTAAACATGTCTTCTTAGAGAGCCGAGGTGATGCTTGAGATGGAACGGCAACTGAACTTGTCTTCATGAGGGGCTTTATGCTGAAACGAGAAAGCAGAATCGAAACCAAGGATTAATCCGAGAATTGGATTTATAAAATATGACATTCGGTATTTAGAAAATCTCGTCTAAAAGCCCACCTCCTACGAAGTGTAACCTATCCACCCTTAGAGAGAAACCCTTAGCCCTCCCCACAGTAGAGGTACCTAGAGTATGTATTTAGTCTAGATGAACTTACCTAGATAGGTGACCTTAGGGAGGGGAAAAAGAACGAGAGTGAAGGGTGGGAAATACTCGCCTCCTGTCATTAATAAAATTAAGATTATCGGTACACTAAAGTTAGCATAATCTACAATTTTATAACATGACAGGAGGCTTCGTATTTGCTGTTTTAACGCTCCCCAAGAAGGGCTAAGGAAGCGTGCACAGCCGGACGAAAATAGAAGTTGCGGAAAGTCTGTTCCCGGGACCAGTCTGCTGAGTGGAGAATGTCCCGAAGTGAGGCTCCAGCGCTGAAAGCTCCCGATGCCGCCGCTCCCCTGATAGAGTGGGCTCCGAAGGAGGCCTCAATCCCAGCGAGGGAGAGCAACCACCTAACCCATCGGGCAAGGGTTATGGTTGACACCGGATTATGTGGACGGACGTAGGAGATCAATAGTTGGCTGGAGGAGGTTGAACGAAGGGAGGAGGTGAGTAGTAAATAACGAGAGAGAAGTGATACCACACACAATTTTGGATGGTTAGGGAAATAAGGGTAAAATACCGAAGAAGAGTTTGATTTTGTCCGTCTGGACACGGAAAAGGTGACACCTTCAGGGGAAAAATTGATAGCGTCATGGTCAAAAGCTTGAACATCCGACACTCGTCGGAAGGATACTAAGCAGAGTAGCAGGGTGAATTTAGCCGAGAGTTGACGGAGGGTTAGATCTTCGTTGTTCGGCCAGGTTTCCAGGAAACGAATCATGACGTTAACATCCCATAGATGGGAGTATTTTGGTGTTGGGGGGCGAGCCAGTTTGATGCCCCTCAATAGTCTGCAAACCAGCGGGTCCTGGCCCGCTGGAATCCCATGTAGAGGGACATGGGCTGCCGAGATTGCTGACCGGGCCACGTTGATGGACCGGTAAGTACGGCCTAAGTCGAACAGGTGTGAGAGGAAATTCAGTATGGACTGTCTAGGGGCTGTAAGGGGATCGGTATTCCGTTCCATGCACCAATTGCACCAAGTACTCCAGGAAGAAAGGTAGCATCTTCTGGTTCCAGGAGCCCAGGAATCCCAGAGAAGTTCTTTAGATCTCTGCGATAATTCTCCGAAATTCCAGGATCCCCTGAAAGAGTCCAAGCCACTAATTGGAGATGACCTTGCATTATCATCGGATGAGGGTTTCCTTGAGGGTCCTCTAACAGGCTGGGCCATAGAGGTAGAAGGAGGGGATGTTGGCAGGAGAGGTCCAGGAGATCTGGGAACCATGCTTGGCCCTGCCAGAGCGGGGTGAGTAGTACCAGTGTGACCTGTTGTCTGCGAATCTGAAGAAGGGTTCTTGGGATCATCGCGAACGGAGGGAAGGCGTAGGCTCCCGTCGTCGGCCATTTCTGAAGAAAGGCATCTACTGCCAAACATTCCGGGTCTGGTAGCCAGCTGAAGAAGCGTGGGACTTGAAAATTCGTCCGGGAGGCGAACAGGTCCAGAGTAAACGGGCCCCTGAGTTTGGAGACGTGGAGGAAGACTGACCTGTGTAAGCGCCAGTCGCTGCCGTCTCTCCAATGTCGGGAGAACCAATCCGCAGTGGTGTTCGTCTCCCCCGGAAGGTATTCTGCCCGGAGTGTTATGTTGCGCTGGAAGCAAAAATTGTAGATGTCCTTTGTCACCTCGGACAGGGTGTGAGATCTGGCCCCGCCCAATTTGTTGATGTATTGAACGGCCGAGATATTGTCCATTCGGAGGAGAATACAGCAGTCTGAGAGATGATTGGCCAGACTGCGGATTGCAAACGATCCTGCGATTAATTCCAGACAGTTGATGTGGAGAGAGTGTTCTGCGTCGGTCCATGGTCCCCCGGTGGAAGTTGTATGACAAGTTGCACCCCAGCCTTGGAGGCTCGCGTCTGATTCCACCACAAAGTCCGGAGTGGGACCAAAAATTGCTTTGCCGTTCCAGGCAGACATGTGGCGAAGCCACCAGTAGAGTTCCTCCCTCACCTCGGTAGTGATCGGGACCCTTTGGTCGTATGATGGATGGGTCTGGAGGAATTGAGCCTTCAAGCGTTGCATGGCCCGATAATGGAGGGGACCTGGGTAGATTGCTTGAATGGAGGCAGAAAGCAGGCCTATAATCCGAGCCAAACCTCGGAGAGGTAGATCCACTTGGCGAAGCGTCTTGCGCAGTTCCTTCCTGATCGCGGTTAACTTGGACTGAGGCAGGCGGAGAACACAGGTGGAGGAGTCGATCTCGAAGCCGAGAAACTGTATGATTTGGGATGGAGTCAGCGAGGATTTTTCCTTGTTGATGACGAATCCCAAGGATTCTATCAATGAGGATGTGTAGTTCGTCTGTGACTGCAGCGTGGAGATGTTGTCGCAGAGTAGTAAGAGGTCGTCGAGGTAGATTAGGCAGCGAAAACCCCTTGCTCGAAGATGTGCGGTGACTGGCTTGAGCAGTTTGGTGAAGCACCAGGGAGCGGAACTCAGGCCGAATGGAAGGCAGGTGAATTGGAAGATCCGGTGGTGCCAGGGGAAGCGGAGGAAACGTCGACTGGATGGATGTACTGGCACGGAGAGGTAAGCATCCTTGAGGTCGAGTCGGGTGAACCAATCGCCTGGACGGAGAATGTCTCTGAGGAGATGTATCCCTTCCATTTTGAAATGCCGGTATATCACGAAGGTATTCAATTGGCGAAGGTTGATTACCGGGCGAAATTCTCCCGATTTCTTTTTGACCAGGAATATGGAACTTAGAAAGCCTTCGTCGTGTGGAGCGGGTTGAATTGCTCCTTTTGTTAGCAAGGAACGTAGTTCTGAATCGAGGAGGAGCCATTGAGATTTTGACATTATCGGGTAATGGGGAGGACCTGTTTGAGTAGGGAGAGAATAAAATTCTATGAAATAACCCTGAACCGTGTTTAGAACCCATGTATCTGAAGACAGCGTCTTCCACATATCCACACAATGTAACAACCTGCCCGCATGAGAAACCGTAGAGAGGTGAAAAGTAGGAAATCTCACCTGTTGGGTATCTGTAGCGTCCACGGGCTCTACCTCCTCTTCCCCTATCTGACCTTTGGGTGTAGAAACCTCTATTTTGATAGTTGGGGAAGAATGGTGAAGTGGGGGTTCGTTGGCGTTGGCTTGTGGGCCAGAAGCGGCTGACTGCACGACCCCTTGGACGGCCAGCCCTGCCAAAAACCCGAGAGGGTTGTTGGTGGAATACTCTTCTCATGGATGATTGCGCCTTGTTCAGGGTGGCGTATAAATTTACATGCTTGTGTAATTCTTTAATATAGGGTTCTCCAAATAATAGACCCTTGGCCTTGGGGCCCAACTCTTTGGTCCCTAGGTCGGCTAGTTTGGCATCTATACGCAGCAGCACTGCTTTTCTACGCTCGGTAGAGAGGGAAGTATTTGCATTGCCCAGCAGGCAAATGGAGCGTAGTGCCCATTCTCTGATCACAGATGGGTCTAAAGGGCCCTCGTTAGTGAGGGCTTCATCAGCCAGTAGTAGAATTCTTGCCAAGGGCCCTAGGACATCCAACATCTTGTCCTGGGTGATGCGTAGGCTGCGCTCAATGCCCTTTTTAGGGTCACGGCCAGATCTGGCTAAATATGTGTAGAGCAGGGAATCAAACTCCGGGGTCATAGCGACCTTGTCTGGTAAGGTGGGTCTAGGGCATTCAGCTCTTAGGCGTTTGCGGACCTCCCGGTCTAGGGGTCTCCTTATCCAGAAATGGATATATTGTGAAAGGTGATTTGGGAGTGACCATTCTGAAGATCGAGGGTATCTGATCTGTCGTGGGTCAAATAACGGACAGTACAAAAGGACTAAAGGGAGAAAATTAGGCAGTAATAAGTTAAGAGAGAAAACTTTAGAAGATAGCTAAGGTGGGACAAGTACCTTAGAAATAGGAATATAAGAATATAGCTAAAGTATGGGAAACATAGCTAAGAAAAAACAAAGATTAAATAACAAGTTAAAATAAAGAGGATAGTAAATAACCCACAGAAAGTAAGAGGCAGTGGCACTCTGACCTGTACTGGTGTGAAGCAGCAAAGAAAGAGGAAGTGACATCACAGGGAGGGACTCTTATACCTTGTTATCTCTTTTTCTGATTGGTTACCCTGTTACTAAGTAAAAAAGTGCTGCTGTGAAGCTTAAGTAAAGAAAGACTTAAGCAAATACGAAGCCTCCTGTCATGTTATAAAATTGAGTTCCATATGTGAATATTTGATATGAAATGAAAACTCTGTTTTTCCTGAACAAAACGATATATAATAAGTGTGGGTGCACGTAATATGAAAGAGGTAAATTATTGTTGCACAGACATTTAGTCAAATTCTGTGGTTTGTTTAAAAATTTTTTATCACAACTTGTATATTTGGCTCCGTCCTTAAGGGGTTAAACCATTCCTTTAAGCACAAAGTTGTAAAAAACCTAATTTCTTACTAATCAAACAAGCTCAGCTGTATCTGTAAAAATACAAACACACAGAAATAAGCACTTAGCTCAAACTCCCACTACTCTTGAGCAGCAACAATCTGTATAGTATTCATCAGGCTCGATATATATAGACAAAACCAAACAAAGTTACCTGCACACTATATCAAACCCATATATATATATATATATATATATATAAAACAAAATAAGTTTGTAGAACCGCTCCAATGACCATTAAAGAGTAAGCTCTTTTGCTTAATTGCTAAGATACATTTTTATGAACCCCTTACAAACAGTGCAATGGCAATATATCATGGATGTGGAATACAAAAAAAAACCACAAGAGAATATGACCTGTGTGAAAACGCTTGAGCAGCAGCAATGGCCATACTATATACTAAAATCACCATGTACATTTAAATAACACCATTTTAGTGCCACTACAACAGCCATTAAAATGTAAGCTCAGCTGCCAACGTCAAGGCAAACCTCTTTTAGCTGAAAGGAGCAATTGGAATTGTTAGCATAGGACTCAAGAGGTTTTGCATGTTTCCAGAGCCAGTACAAACGTATTGTGGTAACAAGACATTATCTCTTTAGACTTGAAGAAAATAAATTTCACCTATAGCACAGTATTGGTTTATTTACTATAAGAAAAATAAAGACTGCATAAAGACAATGGTTTATCCAATTATGAATTCTTTAAAAAAAAAAAAAATTTTTGTAAAACCAGAATACAGAGGGATGTGGCTAGCTAACAGCTGTAGTAACATTTTGTTGATTCGATGATTAATCTGGTTATTGGAATCATTAAGGAAGGTTTCCTTTCTGTGAAACATTAGGAAATTACTTCAAAATGTTATTTTGCGTTCTTTTGGATCAACAGCAGAAACAGAAGTGAAATATTGGGCGTAGACCTATAACATTGATCTAGATTATGATATAATTGTTACAATATGTATCTGTTTAATAAAATGCCTACAGGTATATAAAAAACACACATGGTCTGCATCTGGGATAAGTGATGTAAAGCAATCTTACCTGTCATAAAGAGGATTTGCAGGAGAAGAGATGGCACAGAATTCATGCTCGTGGTTGATTTAAATTACTACTGGAACAGCTGAAACTAAAAGCAGGAAATCATTGCTGTTTTCATTTTTAGTTTCTAACCAAACAGCCTTCATAAGAATCTTTTCTAAGCAAGTGAATCAAGGTCATTGGTTACAGCTACTAAATGCAGTTGGATAAATAGACTGGCATTGAAGTACTCATTGGGTGAGATGCTGGGACTGTATATAGTCAGGTAAAACCTAAACTGCAATCTTTGGATTATTGGGTTACAGTCATTCTAAATAAAAAATAAACTCGCTGTTAATTAATGAACAATTTTAGAAGTTATTCTCTGCACTTAATGTCCTCTGATTTTTAAAATCTTCTTTTATTTGATTAATACACAAATTCTAAATGACCCCATAGTCTAAACAGTTAAATTGTCACTTTAAGTGAACACGCTGACAGATGGCAAACAATATAAAACCAATGAACATAAATAAAAAAAAGTGAATATATATGTAAAATATAGAGGGGTCCCTGTACCCTGTACCCCTCTTAAAGGACCACTATAGTGCCAGGAAAACATACTCGTTTTCCTGGCACTATAGTGCCCTGAGGGTGCCCCCACCCTCAGGGTCCCCCTCCCACCCGGCTCTGGAAGGGGGAAAGGGGTTTAAACTTACCTTTTTCCAGCGCTGGGCGGAGAGCTCTCCTCCTCCTCTCCGCCTCCGTTACGCCCCGCCGGCTGAATGCGCACGCGCGGCAAGAGCTGCGCAAGATTCAGCCGGTCTCATAGGAAAGCATTTACAATGCTTTTTCCTATGGACGCTGCGTGCTCTCACTGTGAAAATCACAGTGAGAAGCACGCAAGCGCCTCTAGTGGCTGTCAATGAGACAGCCACTAGAGGATTAGGGGGAAGGCTTAACCCATTCATAATTATAGCAGTTTCTCTGAAACTGCTATAATTATGAAAAAATGGGTTAACCCTAGAAGGACCTGGCACCCAGACCACTTCATTAAGCTGAAGTGGTCTGGGTGCCTAGAGTGGTCCTTTAAAGCAAGATATGTTTGGTGCTATAGCTACCTCTAAGCTTTCATTATATGGGCAGAAGGATTAGAAAAAAAATCATTCCAGCCATCACTAATTAACCCACCCACAGGTTTTGTAAGATTTACTCTAACCACCATGACCACGTCTGCTTTTAGAAGTGGTCATGGTGGTAGGAGTCTGTGTGCGCAGTGTTTCTACTTGAAGCATTGCACATTCAGAGACCTGTGTGCTATGGGCTAGCTGCAGCCCAGGCAAACCTAACTTAAGAGGTCCAGAACTCTTGGTCTTGACTGCTTAATGTCAATTCTGTGCACAATTTATGTCTGTCAAAATGGGCTCAGTTCGCTGATGACAGATGTAATGAGATCCTTCCTTGTAGGCAGCCTTTCCAGGCTCTCCCTCCTTGTGTTCCAACCTCCCCCCATCCCACATTGCCTGTTTCATTTAGCTTTTTGTTTTGCATGAAACCCCTATGCTCCCTCCCCTACCTGGCTCATAGTGTGCGCATGTGCTCTGAGCCAGTGAAATGATCCAGTCAAGGGCTCTACTAGATACATTCGATTGGACCATGGTTGCACACTGCTGGCCTCACATGGAATCATGAAAGGCAACACTAACAGCTCTGCCAGGCGCTGGATTCCAGGTAAGTTTAAGACTATATTTCTAGTTTTATAAGGAGGGACCTGGCAAATAATGGCCAATAGGGCATTATAAACTAAATGACAGAAAAAGTGTTAGAGTGGTTTTCCCAAACTCAACTGAAAATGCAGCTTATAATGACTTCTCCAGTCTCAAAATGATTCAACCCCATCTTGGCAAGCATCTTTAGTACTTAGTAGAGCGCCCTTTTGCTGTAATGAACTGTGGAAATGAGATGCATAGCCAGATATCAGCTTCTGGCAGCGTTCCTGAGGAATCGTAGCCCATTGCTCATGAGCAATGGCATCCAGTTCAGTAATATTTCTGGATTTCCGTGCTGCAACCACCTTCTTTAAATCCCACCAGAGATTTTCAATGGGTTCAAATCAAGAGACTGGTGGCCATGGTAGAATTTTCCAAGCCTTGGTGGAATTTGAGGTATGCTTGGGATTGTTGCCTTGTTGGAAAGTCCAAGGAAGCTTCAGCTTCCTCACAGATGGCATGATGTTTTATCCTAGGATTTCCTGATACTTCAATGAATCCATCTTGTCTTGCACACGCTGTAGGTTTCCAGTGCCAAAGAAAGAAATTAAGCACCAGAGCATCACAGAGCCATGCTTTACTGTAGGCAGAGTGTTCTTTTCAGCGTAAATTATTCTTCCTCCAGACATACTGCTGATCCACTGGGCCAAAAAGTTCCAGTTTAGTTTCATCGCTCCACAGAACAGAATCCCAAAACATCTGTAGCTTATTTAAATGATTTTGAGCTTATTGGAGTCAACATTTCTTGTGCTTTTGGGTCAGTGGTGGTGTACATCTTGGAGTTGTGGCATGGAAACCTTTTGTGTTTAGTACACGACTTACTGGGCTCACTAAAACCTCAGTGCCTGTTTCCACTAAGTCTTGCTGCCAGCAGGGGTGTCCGCGGGAGGGGGCGGGGAGGCAAAGAGGGGGCACTTGCCCCCCCGGGTTTTTCAGCTTGTGCTGCTATTTTTGGTTTCAGTGTGAGAATACACTGCAATACAGCTACAGCTGCCTCTCTCTCCTGACTGAAACCGCAGGGGAGCAGCACAGAGACAGCCTACAGATCAGGTAAGTGAGGGATGGGGCGGGGTGACAGCATAGAGAAAGGTAAAGTAGAAGGAGCAGAAATGAGCAGAAACGTTCTGCAAGGGGCAGGAGGGGTCAACAAAGAATAGAAAGGGGCAACAAGGATCAGGAAGGGGTAGGAAAGGTTTGCAAGGAACATCCAGGGTCAGCAAGGGGCAGCAAGGAGAAAGAAGGGGCAGCAAGGAGCAGGAAAGGGCAGAAAGAAGCAGAAGGGGTAGGGACGGTCTGCAAGGAGCAGAAGGGGTCACCAAGGAGTAGGAAGGGTCTGCAATGAGCAGGAGGGGTCAGCAAGGAGTAGGAATGGTCTGCAAGGAGCAAGAGGGGACAGGCAAGGAGTAGGAAGAGGCAGCAAGAAGCAGGAAGGGTCTGCAAGAAGTAGGACGAGGCAGCAAGGAGCGGGAAGGGTCAGCAAGGAGCAGGAAGGGTCAGCAAGAAGCAGGATGGGTCAGCAAGGAGTAGAAAGGGTATGCAAGGGGCAGGAGAGGTCAGCAAGGAGTAGGAAGGGGCAGCAGGACGGGGTAGGGACGGTCTGCAAAGAGCAGGAGGGGTCACCAAGGAGTAGGAAGGGTCTGCAAGGAGCAAGAGGGGTCAGCAAGGAGTAGGAAGGGTCTACAAGGAGCAAGAGGGGTCAGCAAGGAGTAGGAAGAGGCAGCAAGAAGCAGGAAGGGTCTGCAAGGAGCAGGAAGGGGTAGAAGCAATCAGAAGGAGCACAAAGGTAAAGCAGGAGACAAAACAGAAAGGGTCAGCAAGGGGCTGCAAGAAGCTGGGAGGGGCAGAAAGAAGCAGGAAGGGCAGCAAGAAGCAGAAATGGTCTGCAATGAGCAGAAAGGGGCAGGAAGGCACAGAAGGAGCACAACGGTAAAGGAGCAGAAAGAAGCAGCAAGGAGCAAGGGGGGTCAGCAAGGAGTAGGAAGAGGCAGCAAGAAGAAGGAAGGGTCTGCAAGGAGCAGGAAGGGGCAGAAAGAATCAGAAGGAACAGAAAGGGTCAGGAAGGGGCTGCAAGAAGCTGGAAGGGGCAGAAAGAAGCAGGAAGGGTCTGCAAGAAGCAGGAAGAGTCTGCAAGGAGGAGGAAGGGGCAGCAAGGAGCAAGAAGGGTCTGCAAGGAGCAGGAAGGGTTGGCAAGGAGAAAGAAGGGCCTGCAAGGAGAAGGAAGGGATCAGAAAGAGAAAGGAGCAGCAGGGTGCAGAATAAGCAGAAATTAGCAGAAAGGTAATTAGCAGAAGGAGCCTCAGAAGAAAAAGAAGACTGTGTCAAATGAAGGAGAAGAAAATGAGATTGGAGCACGTCATTCTGGACACCACGTCATAAGGCGTTGGTACCTGTGCCTGGCAGGGAAACTTTGGACCTTCTCATCTCCCCAGGTAAAAAGAAAATCAGTGTTAATGTGTTCACTTTTATTTAGTGTCAGGAAACACAGAGGGTCGCTGGGTAGGGGTGCCGCTGAATGGCTAGAGCAGTCAGCTGGCACTCTAAGCCAATCAGTAGCTCCCCATTGATAAAAACGTAAAACATTTTTATGAGTCGGGAACTAGCGATTAGCTTAGAGCGTCAGCTGACCACTCTAACCAATTAGCGGCACCCATGCCTGACGTCAATCTGCACTTCCTGACACTCCGTTTCAGAGGCCGAATAACACTGAGCGACCTGGAGATGTGGAGCTGGAGGAAGCCTTTGGGGGTAAACCATTTGAGAGCAGTTTAACCCCTTAAAGGAAAGAGAGCACCCAGGGGCTTCCTGGCATCATAGCATTTTCATTTAGATGAAGTTGTTATGGTGACCAGAATGTTTCTTTAATTTGATTAATGGAACACTATAGTGTCAGGAATACAAACATGTATTCCTGACACCATTGTTGTGAAAACGCTATTCACCCTGGCTTTATGTGATAATGACTATGCTCCTTCCGTTCATGACACTGTCAAAAAGGGACCAAGCATGGATGTCATTACAATTATGCACCCCCCCCCCCCAGAAAAATTCCTGCGGATGCCCAATGCTGCAGGTCTTTTGCAGTCCCTCAAGGGTTTTCCACAACCTGTCTTCTCAGAATAGTTGCAGCCATTGATAGCTCCTTTTTTTTTTTTGCCCAGTCCAGGTACTATAACCACTGTTCCTTAAACTTTGATCTAGCAAACTTTGCTTCCAATGGTGCCTCTAGGAACATGTAGTGCTTTCACTATATTTACGTATCCTGTTCTTTGTTTGTGAAGGCCAATGATCTCTTCTCTTAACTTTGTGGACCATTGATTTGACCTAGCTATGTTAGACCTCCCCATAGAAAAGCATTATACAATGCTTTCCT